GAATTTAGTCATATTCAAATTTTTGGAATAAAATGCTTTTAGATTTTTTTTGTTTTTTTTTTTTGGACAGTTTGAACTTGTAACGGTTTTTAATCTTTACTGTTAAGTATAATTTATTTTAAAGAATTTTTACCTTTCATTTATTTAATTATAAAAATTTTAAATATTGTTTAACTGTAAAATGTTGTATTATTTCATTAATTTAAATTAAAATGTCAGTAAAAAACATGTGCATTGTTAAAATTGTTAGAAAATATAATAAGAAAAGTTAGAGAAGTAACTTTCTTTAAAATACATACACGTACCCACTAATGACCAATAACTATTTTTACAAAAAATATATCTTTTATAGGTGGCCCATATTAATATACGGATATAAACATATTTGTTGCAATCTTGCTATACCTAAACCCATGTATATATGCTTGCAACGAAACAAAAAAGAAAAAAAAACAGCTGTTTGCTACAAAATCAGCTGTTTCATTTTGATATCGCGATTCTCCAACGGAGGTGTTTTTGCAATCTTGCAATTTTAGTATAGTATTCTTGCATTTCGTACACCTTGCAATGACTTTGCAAAACAGAGTAAAAATCCCTATTTTGTATTTAATTTCATAATCATAACAACTGCCTTTTAGAATTTCCATGACTTCTATTAGAAAATGACCACTAAAATAAAACATGATATTGTTAAGTGCAAAAGGAATCATACATGCCTAAACTAAGGATGTGTGCGAGTTAGGCTAAGTTAATGCTAAACGAAATGGGAGATTTTTTGGGATTTTTTGCACTGCACACATTTAGCCATTTATCAACACGTATTGACACATCACTACATTATCGGTACAACTTAAAATTTTCCTTATTTAGAACGCAACTTAGCCTCACTCGCACACGTCCTAAATTATATTTTTCTTTACACTGCACTATCATATAAGGGTGTACTATTTAAGCTTTACAATTTACTTCAAAAAATAGATGTCGATTAAGAAATAAGATTGTTGTAAGTTTGTTCATATCATGAATAATTTTCTGCAGTATTGTACTCACGATGAGGACTACGGGTTACATACATTATGTTACATATAGGTATGCATACATTACATTACATTGCATACATATATTAGTTTACAAACATAAATACATACATTGCATTATATATATGTGTATGTAATTTCACTACTTCAAGCATTAAACAAGAGAAATAAAATAAATTAATGCTTACTTATGTAATATTTTTAAGCTGCATTATTTATTATTTTAAAATAAATAATTAATATACAATCATTTTATTATATAAAGCGATCTTTCCATAATGTCTCACTTTCACTTAAATGCATAAGCGTATTTAATTCATATAATTTTATATTTAAAATGTACCGATTTTAGTAATGCAATTGTGCATATGCTGCATACAATACATGTTTACTTCTATATATTTATTATAAATAAAATGCATGTATAATAATTTTTACATTTATAATATCAACGAGTTTATTTTTTATTTAATTTTTTTTTTTCTTACCATTTTGCTACAAATATTTTTGCTAACATTGCTCTTTTTTGGTTGTTTTTTTTAAATTCTACAAGTATATATAATATACTATATAGTCTACGACAATAATGGAAAAAATAGCTTCAACTAATTTTTTGACTGTTTATGGTCTAAAAAATATTTTTTTTTTCGGTGGGGGAATAAAATAGAGCAACACATGTTTTGTGTTAAATATTTTTAAATTTAACATATTTTTTGTATTGAAAAAAAAAAAATACACACAAACATGGTCATGATTTTGATAAAAGGAAAAATATACTGAAACCATAGTAGCATTCCATATATGACTCAATTCTAACGTATGTACTTGAGTTCTCGGCGCGCTATTTTATCGTTAATATATCTATCTACATATTTATACACTTAATATCGGACTTTTTATGGTAATAAACTGTTTGTCTGTTCTTATATCACATTTTTTGTTTTGTGTGTACATAAAAATTATAGACATGAATAATAGCGCAAAATAATTAATATAAATATTTTTGTCTCATATATTTTGTTGTTGTTCAAAGTAAATAAATATGTATTCGGAATTTTTTATATAAATAAACATTATTATAAATTATGACTGCTTATTTTATTTTGCAAATAAGAAATTAAAATTAAGTAGCTTGCATTATTAATTTTTATTGTAAAACAACTTAAATTTATTTATTAAAAAAATATGAACAAGTGAATATTTGAGCTGACCACTACAGCTTTTTCAGATATCATCAGTGGTCTAAGAAAATATTTATTTAAACTCGAAATTTGAATAAAGCAATTTCAGTATACGTTAGCTTTCTATATTAACACATGAGCCCATGACTTCTGTTTGATATTATGTGATACTGAAAACCAAAAATTATAGAAAGGTAATTAAAGCAATAGATGTTTCCAAAAGATCATTGAGATCATGTATATTTGAATGTATTGGATTTCTTGTCATGAGACATAAAATTAAAAATATGATAAATATTATTATAAGATACAACACATTACTCTATAATTCCCTAGAATAACAGTTAAAAAAAATTTTTTTTTTTTACACAAATACCTTAAATATAGTAACAATGAAAAGAAAAATTATTCTATTCTCACACCGTTTTTGTAGAACAACTTATTCTTTATCTTATATAGGCATATTTTTTAAATGTGACTCCATGGTGTACAATGATGTTGTAGTCGCCCTGGGTCAAACCTAACAAATATGTTGAAGAATATAATATAATTTTTTATTTATGTTTTAACTATGTTGTACAAAGAGAGTGCACTTCTATACCAAACTGTCTAGAGTAATTATAGGAAACTGAAGAGGAAGTCCAAGATTTAAAAATATTGAATCTATAAGTTCAGATAGGCTTTATGCTTTTGCCATCACTTTAATTTATATTAAAGTGAAATATAATAAAAAATAGAGAAAAGAAGTAAAAAACATAGCAAATAAAGTATCGAGATATGCCAATTAGAAGAGTAAGTCTACCGGTCGACAACCTCATAACCTAGCTAGTTTATTATGAACTAAAGAATATGTTATATATAACGCAAACACTTGCTGAGCCTTATCATGTTATAATCACAGGTAACTAGTGAAAGTGAAAAAAAAACATATATATTTACAAATTGTTTGAAGTTTTAAGAGATTTTTATTATAGTATTAAAAAAAAAACCTTAAATAAATCAAGTTATCTTAACATACAGCGTAATAATAAAAAATGTATGCTGTGCAAATCTACATCGAAGATTAAGATATAAGCTAACAAAAAAATATTGCATAATGGCAAATTCATCTGTTACGAGTAAAATAGGATTCTTATCTATTTATTTTATTAATGTTAATATTACTCAAACTATTAAAAATGTTAGTTTACACTTTTAAAACATTTGTAATAAAAATGTCGGTTGTTTTAAAGTTTAAGTTTAATAGAGTTATTTTATTATATTAAATAAAAAATTTGAATTTTGCTGGTTATAAAAAAAAAATAAAACATTTATAACAGCAACTTTTATATTATTACATTGTTAGATTGTTAAGTAAAGTTTATTTTCTATCTCTGTTTCTTTATGTCGTCATTACAAATTTCAAAAACTTATAGGCCACTAAGAGAGCTAGCTTACTTTTATCGGAAAAATGGTTATCTCAATTTAAATTAAGGAAATTTCTCGTCAGACAGCGAAATGGTCTGGACACAAATATTAAAAATTTGGTTTTTAGTTTCAAGATGTAGTCCCCCTCCTCTTTTCACATAAAATTTTCTTTAAATTAGCCACATATTTTATCGAAGTCGTTATTACAGTCAACAATGGCGTCTACATCTAGTACTACTATATTTCCAAAGTATCCATACTCGTATTATTCGACATTGAAAACCTATATATGCGTATATAAATTATTGCAAGGGGACACTTTCATCTATAAATATTCTATCTACATTCTATCGGTATCTATTTTAATTCATTTTAAAAACTATTGTACTTTGCTAATGAATTTTCATCAGTTTAAATGGAATAAATAGTTTACTACGGTCTGTTTCAATAAAGCTCGTTGAATAGGAACTATTTATTATAGTTAACTTGTAGTTATTAATATATGATATAATTTTATGGTTTAAGATTTTATTTTTAATCTCTAATAAAAGAAGTGAGTACATTTAATAAATAATTTAAAAGCGTTTTAAAATTATATTAATATCTAATATTTTTCATTACAATTTCAAAAGATTTGCTAAACATATATAACCGTGAAAACGTTTTTTTTTTTTAAATAATTTTAGAAAATTATTTATAATTATTTTATAAAACTATGCCCTTAACTAATTATGACAAATCCATTGGTATTGTCAAAATAAGCACACCTTTTCAAAATAAATAATAATTAATTACAATGAATAGTAAATGAACTAATACTAAATGGTCACGCTAACAAATTTGACACTAAACAACAGTTAATATAACAGTAACAATCCCTTAAATAGTCGAAACATTATAACAAGTGCTGTTCTAAGACCCTTATGGGCGCAACTGTAGACCTTCTTAACTGTAGACCGGCAGTAAGTGTCATAACACAATATTTTTATAAAAAGCCACACGTATTAATATAAGCGTGTCGTTAATCAATTTCAATAAAATATTCGGTGTTGCCACTAATATTATTACTGATTTTTATAACTCTACTTTTTTACGATTACGTTAGCTAATAGCCAAATAAGCTTATCGTATGGATATTTAACTGCTTACCTCTTATTTGGCACTTGAAACTAGGAAGCGCAACAATGTGGCACGCATACTGATTGTTCCAAAACATGACAAGCAACAAACAAAACTAACGAATGACCTAACTGACTGTCATGGAAAAGTTTGATATCAAAATATGGCCGGGTATGTAGATTCAAGTATGAGCATAGAAGACTCGCAATTCAACAAGAATAATAAGCATTGCAACAAAGGAACAACAAAATATATTTTAGGCACCCATTATGACGGTTGACAGGCGTACGGCTGGCGGACTTATTGCTTCCGACCTAATTATGACACAATTTCATTAACTTCAATGACTGTGGACAATAGCATGATGACCCAATACAAAAATGTTGCTTATGATGATGTACATACTTTTTTTTAAGTATTTTATAATAAATTTGTAAAAATAATATTTGTGGTTTTTATGAGCTAAGCTCTTAAAGACAAACGGAAGACGGGTAAAAAATGATTAGCTTAAATTTGAAAGTGCGTGACAAGAGGTAATAAGCATTCCTATCACAAATGGTGGCAGTTAAATTAATTGCCATTGCCTAACTGCCTTCTTAATGCTCATGCCCCCATCATAAAATATTAAATAAAAAGTTGAAAATTAAAATATATTAATTTTTTTTCTGTTTCTAACGGGTTTTGTTATCTTCTCGTGAGAGTATAACTCAAACACCTACAACCGAAAATGTCAAAAAGTGAAATTTTAAAATCCACCAGAGAACTGAAGTGGATGCATATATATATATTTGAAAAAATATTCGTCTTATAAAAATCATAATAATTTATTTAACATTGTGGGTGTGCAAACGCTTTTAATATATTGAACATGTTTAGAAGATGCTAGAAATATATTATGTATATTATAATTTTTTTTGTATTGATATCAAAAACTAACTATATACTGCGAACGTTGTTATGTTTTTATTTAAAAAATTTATAAAAAGTTAAAACTTAAAATTTAAGTTGAATAAAACAACTATACCTACACTTCAACCCATCGGTTAAGTTGGTTTATAACGTAGATAAGTGATAGAAATACATCAGGTATCAGAACAACATCTTGAGTTGGTTCCTAACATAAATAAATGATAGAAATACATCGTATCAGAACAGCATCTTGAGTTGGTTTATAACACAGATAAATCATGGAAATATATAGTATCACAACAGTATCTTGAGTTGGTTTATAACATAGATAAATCATAGAAATACATGGTATCATAATAGTATCTTGAGTTGGTTTTTAACCTAGTTAAATGATAGAAATGATGACTCTCCACATTCAGAATTGCGGTTTCAAAAACACTATGCGACATTAAATTATTTTTTGATTTTTCAACGAGTTTAGGAAACATCTAAGTTTCTGGCAATTATGAATTAAAGTTCAGTTTAAAATATTAATACATTTCTTTTAATATTAAAAAAATAGAGTTTTGTGCCTCCAGCAAACTTGCTGCAAATAAATAGATAAATTTTCTAACGTTAATTTTTTTTTGTCGAAAGTGACGCGTCTTCTGACGAAAAGAAACTAATTAAACGTTAGAAGTGTTCGAATGGAAATAAAAAGACAACAATAAAAATTATAGTTCATTTATTCAAAATATTCGAAATTTTTAATTAGATTATAATCCGTATACAATTTGTTTGGACTGCAACTGCCAGACTTTGAAGTCGTATCTGTCAAATTAGAAACAATGACTAATCGTGTTTTTTTCACAAGTAACCAAGTTTTTTTGTGACATTAACCAAAGCACTAGCTGTGGTTTAGATTTGAAGAATAAATAGATAAATTTTCTTATGTTAGATATCCTTCCCAAAATGTCTTTCCTTCTCTTTCAAAAATAAATTTTTTGAGAAATTTACAATAATTTTTAACTCTGTCTAAATTTTTACTTTCTACATTATTATTGATTTCATGTATATATATACAATATAACCAGCATCTGAAATATTTAAAACACTACACATTCAATTGAGGTCGTTAAGGTTCTTGACCGTAACTAACAATGATTTTATGTTCAGCTATTATGAACTTTGTTTATTTATATGAGATTTATATTTAATATATAAAAATTACTGTTTTCATATGCTGATTCTTAATAGAAGATTTAATAATCTAAGCTTTAAATTGAGAAGTTGTTTATTGGATCAAGTGTAAGCTTATTGATTGGTAAATGAAAACTTTAACTTTAATCAAATATTATTAGAACAATTACAATATCTTTAATCTCAAGTTTTATATAAAGAACAGGATCAAAACACTCTTTAACTGTTCTCCATTCTATGGTATATCATGTTAAAGCTTAAAGGTTCTACTATAGTAATAATATCGTAATATATTGCAGAGATTGTAGAAACGCATAGCAATGTCGTACCTATTACTTTCTTTTATTTTCGATATGGATTTCGCTTGGTTAGAATGCTGGGTATGCTTGAAATAAATCCCAATAGGGTTTTTAATTTTTCCTGATCTAAACATCTTTTGGGTGGGTTTAATTTTAATGCTACCTTATTCATATATTGCGAAACTATACACTATGTATATGTTAATGATTTATGCCTATCATTACCTGTATAAATGTATATAAATTTATATATATTATACATAATATATACATATGTATTTATATACAGAGATGCTTAATAAAATTGTTGAAATATATTTATATAGAGAAATCCGTTTATAAAAAAATATAAATTGTTAATAATTAAAATATATCTCTAAAGGTATATAAAATCAATATTGTTTAAATCACTTTATATATTTTCTACTAAGCGGCGAAATAAGCTTTTGTAGTTAATGATTATTTCTTTAAAATTTAAACATTAAACTTGACAGAAATCTAAACATTTGCACAACTATTGAAACGATAAGAAAACTTCCTTTCTATGAAATATATAGAAACTTCCAAAAGCAATATAAATTTTAAATGTATTATTATAAATATCATCACAGCAACAAGTGGAAACCACATTTTGTACTTTGTTTCTAGAAACAAATTTTATTTTTATTTTTTTTCTAACATTTAACTGAACAAGCAATTGACCTCGTCAGTATTTAATGACTCACAAAAAAAAAAAAAAGAATTTTAACAAAAAAAAAATTATTTTGCAAATATGTGATTATTTACTCTAAGATATTTTTTCTTCCTTCATTACTGCTCATTTCCTTACCATATTTGGCGGTTTTATACGAACTCTTGAAGATTTTTATAAAAATATTTTGTCATTAAAATTTCTTCAAAAGCTATACATTCTCTATCCATATAAATATACGTGTATGAATATATATGAATTTTTACATTTCTATCTATGCTTTTATACATAAATTATATATCTTAAAATTTATTAAAGTCATTTCTGTCAGCCGGAGGCGTCGCATTTAACTACGACGAATAATTTTGCAATTTGTCAATCAATAGATCGGTTATGTTGCTATTCTGGTATCTATCTATTCATCTATTCTACTCAACTGCTTTTTAATTTATATATAAATTTCGTATTTTATAATTTACAAATACCATTATGAATATATAATTTTAAATTTAAATATTTTGTATCATCTTTCAGTTTGTTTGCTTAGCAATATTCCACAAAAAAATTTGTATCTCTTTTGACTTCAACGGTTTCTTGTATTCAAAGCCGTTGGGTCTTCAATATTTTAATCGTTCTTTTTTATTATTATTATTCGCGCTATATAATTTAAAAGAACTTAATTTGCAAAATAATAATTTCTTGACATAAATAACAGTTTTGACAAAGTAGCGTAAAAGTTTAATGGTTGAATGCAATTTCTGTTTGACTTACAAAACTTTAATTTTCTAAGCTTAATTATCTGCCAGATAAATTCGTCAATGAAAAGAGAATTTCACACTTGTGCCACTTTAATGGATGGTTTTAATAACGGAGATTAAAAATGATAAATATACTAACTCTTTTTTATATATTTGTGTTGTATTGACATTTGCTAATACATATAATTAAAAGCTATTAAGAATTACAAATAAAATTACAAAAGCACATGTGAGAAAGTTAGATTGAGGTTACTTCTAATAAAGAGGTTTCGAAAAGTAGTGAACTACAACAACAAAAATTATTTTTCTTTTAAGACCAACCATGCAGCTGTTTCGAGTATTGCCAAAAAACCATCATCGGTTGTCTTGGAATTATTTCTTGTGTTTAATTATTCGTAAATCATTTTTTGAGACTGCAAATACCAGGAATTGAACTCATGCCCTGCCAAATTCAAGGCTCAGAGTCAGATTTCATTAGCCAACTGACCCAAAGCCAACTGACCTTGTATGTTCGCATTTTTTTCTGAACACTTTCTGGTTGATTCTAATTAACTCTCTAAGCCCTCATCGAAATTATTCTATTTTACAAATTATTATTTTCTTTAAATAATTAGCATTGAAAAAATAAAACTTTGTTTTATAAGTAAATGTAAACTACTATGGTTGCATGTCTTATGACAATACTGCTTCGTCATAAAAAACTTAAAATTTATCAGAATATTACTGCTTCAACCATAATTAGAAAAATCCAAATTTATCAGAATATTTTATTAAAAAGTATGCTCAAAGCTTGATGACTTATTAGGAATGAAGATACAGACAAAGACTTGAGAATCGAGAGTATGCAAAAGTACATTAAGGGCAAAGCGAATCAGAATACAATACTTGGTAGAAATATTTCCATTTTTTGAAACAACCAACAACCAAGAACTACTCCATACAGCATATTTTTCATTGTCAAATAAAGTATTCTAGTTTTCGTCGTTTAACAAAGCTCTTCTTTTCTTACTGAAAAATACGATTCCTGGCAGAATAACATACAAAAATTTTCATTAAGTATGATTCTCAAATATATATTAAATAAGAACATAAAAGATTCATCCGTGACGAAAACCGGATTTTACATTAACTTTATGTAGAGGTTAGATACATGATGCACTTTCTGATAAAAAGTCTATTTATTGGAACATTACTACTGAAGTTAAATATATAGTAAAATATTTACTGTACACACTCTCTCATAAAAAATTCATTTTTTGGAACACTACTACTGACGTTAGATATATTTAATACATAATGTGTATATAACAGAATTGTTTTTAATATAATAATAATATTAAAATAAGGCTCCTATTTTCTATTTAAAGAATAGAATAAATTATTATCCCCTATTTTTTAAACTATATAAAAATTGATTTTAAAAATCATTGTTCTTGATTATTTATTTATAATAATTTACTTATGTTAATAATAAAAATGTATAAAACAAAACTCAATATTAAAATTTTTCAATATATTTTATATTTTGTTGTCAATGTTTAATAACTTTTATTAGAAGAACCTGTCTTGAGAAAGGAGTCAGAAAAACTTCGAAACGTCAAAGATATAATTCTATTAAAAATATCGACTATTTATGTCTTTATATCGATAAAACTATATCATTATATCGATTTAATTATATAATTATATTGATTAAATTATATCATTATATCGATTAAATTATATACATTATCTTCAAATATTTTATATATATGTATATTGAAATTGTTTACAAAAGTTAAAATCAGTAGCAATAAATTTAATTTTGTGCAATCACCTAAATTCATTATAAATATAGGTTAAGTTTTTTTTTTTTAACCATATATGGTGTTTCAGCTTATACATATGTTAATCAAAAATTGATATACTAAATTTGGTGAAATCTAGCTATCAAAAATTTAAACTTATAAGACAAAACGGCATTGCTATTAGCAACAAATAAATAAATAATTGTGCAAATTTACTATTAGCAGACAAACAAACAGAGACAGAGACAGACTGACATAGATGAAATGTCATTTAAGCTTAATTAGTCTAATAACTGTAGACAGGCATTTCCGAGTAGAATAAAAAATTCACAAATCAGCAAATTACAATATAAGCAGTGGGGACGGGACTTATTCAGGGGAAAAAATCAATTTCGTTTTCATTGCAACAAAAGTACCTTCAGAAATAAATGCTAATATATAACTATAAGCAAATGTTTATACTAATATATGTATATATACCGGCATATTTGCAATCGTACACGTAATCACTTCCACGAAAGTTGAGAAACCAAAAACCAAATTGCGAACGAATGCGATAAATAAATTGTTCTAAGGTTACTTTTTACTTAAATTTTTGTATATTGTTTTTATTTTTATTTTACTATTGTTTATGTTATTTGCTTAACAAACAAATATTTTATATATATATATGACATACATATATGCATGCATACACATATTTCACAACACACTTTTAGGGGTGAGGCAGTCAGTGCTAGCTTGCTTGGTTGCTAGCTTACCACAGGGTTTTAATGAAATAGCGTGATTAATTAAAACACGTAATCATTACTCTTTATGGTCACTTTGATTTTATATTTAGTATTGTTCATTTGTGTATATTAAGTAATAAATTACAGATTAAAAAATATATTTAAACAATTCAAATAAAATAAAAATAAAAATATGGAACAATAGCGTTGAACTTTAATATTTCAATTAAAATTCAAAGCGATAAAAAACGGAAAATTTCTTTGTAATCTTCACATTTTAACACGTTCAGCCAGCAGCAACAACAATAAGAAACAGCAATAACAACAATAAAATTATTAATTATATATAAAAAATTAAGAGTTGTAGTACATTTGTACGTAATGTATATGTATGCGGTATCGCAGCTGAATTTTGACACATTGACATCATTTTTAAAAAAGTGAATGATCTCACGACTCTAGCCAATGTATTTCAATATTTACTAACCGTGATGTTTTATTTTAGTCACTAATACAATTGTTATAATATAATTGTTATCAATTACAACAACAATTTTTGTATCTGTGTAAAGCTTTTCGTAAAAAAATCATAAATAAGCAATAACTGTGCTATCTGCCAGATGAGCATGTAAAACTTAGTTAACTGTTATCAATCTAATAACTAAAAGCGCTAAGGTGTATGTATGTACCATACCAAATTACGTCATTTATTTTTATCTCTGGAATTTGTTATGATTAAAATATTAATAAAGCAAATATATTTAAGATATTATCGTTTCGTATTATCAACAGAAAAACTTAATCAACACTAACAAGTACAGCTATGAAAATATTAATCTAAAAAAAATAATTTTTCGAATTTTTATTAGTGCAGTTAGCCAGCAATTTTTTATTATCCATTCGTCTCAGGTTTTACGTTTTTTTGACTTTTGTTTACTTTACTAAATATGTTTGAACTAAACTGAACACTATCTGCATGCGTGGGTGAAACGAAAGTACATAATTGTAATTGATATAAATTTAACTTAATATATAAATTTTTTTTTTGCAATGTGCACATCCTATGTTTAATAAATAATATATATTTTTAATTCTAATTATGATTAAATTATTTAATCTGGCACTGACTCTTAACTTCAAATTTGGCAGGGCACGAATGCAATCCCTGGTACTTGCAGTCTCAAACAACCACTGAAGATGGTTATTTAGCAATACTCCAAACAGCTGTGTGGTCAACCAAAAATTTAATTAATTAAAATAATATATAAAAAAAATTTTTTTTGTTGTAGTTCACTACTTCTCGATACCTCTCTATTATTATTTAACTTAAGAACAGAATAAAAACAACATTTACGAATACAGTTTTTTCGTTAAAAAACTATCTATATATAAACATTAAGCAATTGGATATAATTTAAAATTTTTTTTAGTTTTATATGACGATGAATGAAGTCTTAACTGAAACGGCATCTTATTGAGAGTTGTGTTATATTCTATATTATCTTATAAAATAAATGTTTTTTTACCAATTAAGTAGCGTACTTTATATCGCAATCAAATCAATTTTTTAGTTATACATAATTTTATTGAAGTAGTTTTTAATGTCCCTATTTTTTGTTTATTTTGTTTTGACAAACATACAGGAGTGCCTGAACTTAACAGTATCTAATTTCTGAAAATTTTTAGCTCCAATCTTATCATTATACTTGTACTCATATCTGATAAGAATTTTTTTTCTATTATTATTTATGAGTGCAAGAAAATTTATAATATCAAATTTTCGCTAAAGTTTTTAAATTTTTGTTTCATTAAGATTAATGCACTCTAAATTTAAAGTTTACCAAAAATGTATTCAGCAAAAGTAATTATCCTGCCAAAAATAAAATGAATTATACAAAATATATAAAATAAAATCTGTCTAATATCAGTTTTTATATTTTATTTTTAGATAAACTCTAAGTACAGC